TTCGTGGGACTGCGTGCTTCAGGGCGCGCTCTCTACTTTCGCCAACACCAGCTCCTTCTTCTGGACCGTGGCCATCGCCCTCTACCTCTACCTCAGCATCGTCCGAGCTGCGCGCGGACCCAGCACGGAACACCTACTCTGGGCTTTTCACCTCATCAGGTGAGTAGGAGATGCGGCTTTGCCTCCAGGCCCCAGACCCAGGCTTACTGGTCCCCCTGGCCTTGCCTGCTGCACTCTGGTGCTCGTGCGTCCTCCATCTAGGTGGCAAGGTGTGTATACATTTATGTATCACATGCACACACTGTATATGTATCACATGTACACACTGTATATGTATCACATGTACACACTGTATGTGTATCACATGCACACACTGTATGTGTAACACATGTACACACTGTATGTGTATCACATGTACACACTGTATATGTATCACATGTACACACTGTATGTGTATCACATGTACACACTGTATGTGTATCACATGTACACACTGTATGTGTATCACATGTACACACTGTATGTGTATCACATGTACACACTGTATGTGTATCACATGTACACACTGTATGTGTATCACATGTACACACTGTATGTGTATCACATGTACACACTGTATGTGTATCACATGTACACACTGTATGTGTATCACATGTACACACTGTATGTGTATCACATGTACACACTGTATGTGTATCACATGTACACACTGTATGTGTGTCACATGTACACACTGTATGTGTATCACATGTATACATGTATGTATCACATGCACACACTGTATATGTATCACATGTACACACTGTATATGTATCACATGTACACACTGTATGTGTATCACATGTACACACTGTATGTGTATCACATGTACACACTGTATGTGTATCACATGTACACACTGTATGTGTATCACATGTACACACTGTATGTGTATCACATGTACACACTGTATGTGTATCACATGTACACACTGTATGTGTATCACATGTACACACTGTATGTGTATCACATGTACACACTGTATGTGTATCACATGTACACACTGTATGTGTATCACATGTACACACTGTATGTGTATCACATGTACACACTGTATGTGTATCACATGCACACACTGTATGTGTATCACATGTACACACTGTATGTGTATCTCATGTATACATGTATGTATGTATCACATGCACACACTGTATGTGTGTCACATGTACACACGTGCCCTCGGAGATCAGAAGAGGGCATCAGATCCCCTCCCACGGGAGCTACAGGTGCTTGTGAACCATCGTGTGTGTGCTGGGAATTGAACCCAGGTCCTCTACAAGAGCAGCAGAGCTTTTAACCAGCACAGCTTCTCCCCAGCCCCTTCTAGGAGCGCTTGGCTGCCTAGAATTCATGATCTTCAAAACTGAGGTCAGTGGCAAAGGGCTGCTCAGGATCAGGGCTGTCAGTCACCTGGAGTCTCTGCGAGTGCGGAAACCAAGGCTCTGGCCTGCCCTGTACGGACCATATTCAAGCTTGTCAGGGCAAAAGCTATACCCAGAGGCCAGCCTCTCCTGTGTCATTGCTGAGCCCTGGGCAGGAACCTAAGGCTGTTTCCTTGTCTCCTTGCCTGAGCTCAAGGCCCCAGAGTCTGCCCTAATTATAGGTCCTTTCTAAATCTTGATTGCTTTCCAAGGGCTGAGAGGGGAGTCAGCACTTTGATAGAGACAGGTCACCTGGTTGTCACACGCTGAGACAAGCTGGGAAGAGTCACTTGACCTCATGCTCTTGTAGCTGTTGGAAGATGACCAGCTAGTCCCAAAGAAATGAAAGAGCCCCCTTCTCAGCTGGTCAGGCAAAATCTTTGTACCGTGTCATTCTGAGGGCAGCTACCTACTGGAAGGGGACTGCAGTGTCTCTCCCCGGGAACAAGCACCAGACACCAGCTAAGCCAGAGCCCAGAAGTCTTCCATGGCAGGGTTGGAGTCTGAACACGGGTGGTCACTGACACTTGAAAAGGGGCCCAAGGCTGGACTTTCTCTGCAAGAGCCTCTCCTCTTGGCTGCAGTCCTTTAAAAACTGACAAATGCAGTCTATTTTTAAGAAAAGGAACAGAATTTTCTGTGTAGCCCCTACAGAAGATGCTTCTCCTAGCCAACCAGGGTCAGGAATACTCTGCTCAGTTCTCATCAGGGACCCTCTAGGAAGGTTCTGTGACACTTGGGTGAGTCTTTCTAGGGAAGGCTGTGTTCAAGAGACTCGCTAGGTCCTACCCAACAGGTTCTTTTATGACCCAGACCCTCCCATGACGGTTGCTAAGTTCTCTCCACTACATAGCCTGGGTGTATTAGGGTTATTGCTGCCATTATGTAAGAAATTTCCTCCCACCAGGCGGTGGTAGCACACACCTTTAATCCCAGCACTCGGGAGGCAGAGGCAGGCGGATCTCTGTGAGTTCGAAACCAGCCTGGTCTACAAGAGCTAGTTCCAGGACAGCCTCCAAAGCCACAGAGAATCCCTGTCTTGAAAAACAAACAAACAAACAAAAAAAGAAATCTCCTCCCTGGACACAGACTGCCTGGCTGCCCACTTTGTGTTTATTTAGTTGGTTATCAGACAAGGCCTGCCTATGTCGCCCTGGCTGGCCTGGACCCTCCTCTTCCTGTGAGTGCTGAGACTAAAGGTGGGTGCTGCCACACCCACCGATGCTCTACTTTTTCACCCACTGCTAAAAATCAGGCCTCTTCTTCAAGCCTTACAGCTTGGAAAGTACTTGTAGGTGTTAGCATCACAAATGGTGACTCTCTCCTTAACGAGTTCTTAGGATCAGTCTGGGTTGATGTCACATCCCTGTAGTCCCAGGGGAGGTAGAGGGTTCAAAATCTGCTTTGGCTCTGCTTAAACTCCAGATCAGCCTGCCAGCCTGGGCTGCATGGGACCCCTGTCCTGTTCACCCCACCCCCCACCCCCCTAAGAAGTTACTGGGAATTGAATCAAATAATGGAGTGGCGTTTTCACATTAAATTAGAAGAAAACGTTAGTGAAGCAGAAATGCCTGCTTTATTGGTTTTGTAAATGGGGGAGTAACCCTTGTAGGAAGGAAGCACTTGGTTCATGCCTTCCGATCCAGTAATCCTATTGACTGGAGCCTGAGCTAAGGAGAAAATGCAAAGCTCACACAAAGCTGTGTGTGTTCAGACTTCCTGAGGTGCTGTTGCTATAGTGAAAGTTAGAGCTAACTTCAGTGTTCAACAATAGAGGAAGCAGTATGTTAAGGGACATGGATAGTGAAAGTTAGAGCTAACTTCAGTGTTCAACAATAGAGGAAGCAGTACGTTAAGGGACTTCCTCTCCTTCCTATCCAAAATACCATAGAGCTGTTCAATGCCAGGGCCGATGCTCTAAGTCATATTTTTAATGGTATAATAGAATGTGGTATGAAAAGGAAATCGTTTTGGCTGTTTTCTGGAAGTGCTGGGGATTGAAGCCTGTGCTACCTCCCCAGACCTGAGAAATCCCAACTCTAAAACCAACTACAGACATGAAACACAGAATCCAGAGAGCCCGGTGTACACACATGCTCCTAGAAAAGCAGCCATGTGGGCCTAGAGCCTTCCTGTTAGTACTCAACACGGCCCCATTCCCAGTGACCTTTCTCCCCGTTGCAGGAGGACAGCTGAGACCTCATCATCTGGCTCCAGAAGCCTTTACAAAGTGTTACCCCATTATTAGATCATAGATCACAGTAGTCCAACCAGATGGACAGGGCTGTCACGCAGCCCTCACAGAAGACAGATGGCCCAAGTGGTAGACGCTAATTCTGACCCAGAGTTTATGATTCTACCTGGCTGGAATGACAACAACTTTAGCAAAACTTATTTATACTTTCCAATTGTTAGCATCTTATCTTCTCCCATTATTTTTCTTTTTTTTTTTTTTTAAAAAAAAAAGATTTATATTTATGTAGTGTTCTGTCTGCATGTGTCCCTGCATGCCAGAAGAGGGCACCAGATCTCATCACAGATGGTTGTGAGCCACCATGTGGTTGCTGGGAATTGAACTCAGGGCCTCTGGAAGAGCAGCCAGTGCTCCTAACCGCTGAGCAATCTCTCCAGGCCCCCACTATTTTTCTTGAATAGACACGATGCCGCCTCATGTATGTATGCTTATGTCTGTGGCTTTCCTACAGAGGTCCACATTCCGACACATAACTGGCAGGATGCAACTGTCACCTGACTGGTGGACTTTCTTGAACTTTTGTCTGTGATCTAACGGTGTCCTCTGGGGGAAAATTCTGAATTATATGTTGACCTGGTTTTCATGTCTTTTTATTCCCTTGCAAATCTTCCATTTCCCCATCAGTCTTCTTGGTAACACTGACTTTAAATCTCATTTTTACTTATTATTATTGTTTAGGGGGTACATTGCCCTGGCACATGTGTGTGAAGGTCACAAGACAACTTTGTGGACTTAGCTCTCTTCTTCCACCTTTATGTGGATTCAAAGGATTGAATCAGCAGGCTTGACATTGAGTACCTTTACCCCTGAGCTGTCCGCTAGCCCAGCCTTGACTATTTTGTCTATTTATTTTTGTTTTTGTTTCTGAGTCTGATCCTCCTGCCTCTGCTTCCCCAGCCTGGTGACTATGGGCATGAGTGCCTCTATATCCATTCTGTGCAGTGCTGAGGGTCAGGGTCAGACCCAGGCAAGCGCTCTGCCACCTGAGCTACGCCCCAGCTCCTATTTGTATTTTGTTCAAGCAGGGCCTTAGTGTATAGTCTAGGCTAGCCTGGAATTCAACTTACTTATAGCCCCAGCTAGCCTCAGACTCAGGGCAAACCCTTTACTTCTGCCTCCTGAGTGCTGAGGTTACAGACATGAGTCACTACACCTGCCTCATAACATTGGCACTGGGAAGAATACAGCATGGTAATTTGTAGAATGTCCATCAGTCTTTGTATGTCTAGTGCTTCTTCATATGGTTTCAAGTTCTGAACTGTGGCAGGTTTCAGAAGCACTTTTGGTGTTGATAGGGCTAAGGTCACATCTGCCAGGCATGGTATTCTCTCTCTCTCTCTCTCTCTCTCTCTTTCTCTCTGTCTGTCTCTCTTTCTGTGTGTGTGTGTGTGTGTGTGTGTGTGTGTTTTGCTGTATATCTGTATTGCCCAAGAAGGCCAGAAGGG